AAAGCAAAATCACCGGCTTGATCCACAAAAACACACTGAGACATAATGGAGACCTAGAAGATGAACAGACCTATGGAACAGCTGTCCTGCCCTACATAAGAGGTACTACAGACAAAATCAGTAAGATACTACACAGGCATCACATCAAGACTGCCTTCAAAACAGACAGAAAAATAGCAGCCATCCTTAGAAACCCCAAAGATAAAATTGACCTGGAAAACCAAGGCATATACGAAGTCCCCTGTGCATCATGCCCGGCCACATACATTGGACAGACCAATAGAAGAATAAGTACCCGCCTGGATGAACACAAAAATGCAGTCAAAAAGCTGGAACACACTTCCTCACTAGTCCAACACATGGAAGCCACAGGTCATAGCATCAACTTCAATGGCACCAAAACCCTAGCCACTATAGAAAACCCTAGCCACAGAATCATCAGAGAAGCCATAGAGATTGAAAAAAGACCAGAAAGCATGAATAGTCCCCTGTGCATCATGCCCAGCCACATACATTGGACAGACCAATAGAAGAATAAGTACCCGCCTGGATGAACACAAAAATGCAGTCAAAAAGCTGGAACACACTTCCTCACTAGTCCAACACATGGAAGCTACAGGTCATAGCATCAACTTCAATGGCACCAAAACCCTGGCCACTATGGAAAACCCTAGCCACAGAGTCATCAGAGAAGCCATAGAGATTGAAAAAAGACCAGAAAGCATGAACAGAAGAGATGATTCCACCAGGCTGTCAATCATTTGGAAGCCTGCACTCACAAACAAAAAAATCTCCACATCACAAGCCAGGCAAACACCTGGGCACAAACAGATCCCCACTGATACCTCCAGCTCAAACACACCCCAACCAGGCACCCAGATGAAACCCAGCTTCCTAACTAATGATAGCCGTCCATTTACCCGAAGCCAAGCTGCACTAAAGGCCTCCATTAAAGTAACACAATGCTGCCAGCCAATCAAGATACAAAAAGAGCCAAAAAACAGACAGAAGATATCAGAGACACCCATCAAGCAGAACACAGCAAACTCCGAGACCAATAAACACAGACCAAGACTCCCAACCAATCAGGATGAAGAAAAAACCATTCTGGCACAGCAATAGGCTGCCCCAAATTTAAATCTGAAACCACTGTAAAAGTCTGACCCACAGACGGACACAATACAGAAGCCTGATGATGGCAGATGAGATTCTGCTGAAACGTTGCTACAACTTTAAAAGAACTACAATGACGTGGGAAAATACCCGAACCAAGCCGAACACCATACATGTAAGTACCCGCGAAAACTTAAGAAAACAAATATATATATATATATATATATGGCTTCATTTATTCTAATTTAGATCAAAAGTTCAATTTTAAGAACTTTATGCTGAATTGACATTATCAATGATTTTATTAGATTGTGTATGAAATTATATATTTTAATACTTTGTTCATACATATTTAAACTCATTTTTCAGTGACCCATTGTAATTTTGTTAATAAAATATATGCTATAGATCTTATTCTGTACAGCAGAATATACATTATGACAAAAGGGAAAACATTGTGTTCTATTTGGTTGCTATTATAAACTTTGTAACTTATATCGCCTTTCCGTGCATTAATACACCTAGCAATGAACAAAATCTTTGTATTTTTAATGACCTTGGGAGAAAACAAAAATTTCTGCTAAGGTTTAGTCCTTACTTTCATTTTAATTAAACAAGCGTGCATAATTGCATCACCAAAGCACTCTTAAATCTGTCCTATTATTGTTTTGCCGTCTTTAGCTTTTCAGAGTTTATATTCTTTTGGCATGCTTTCTTTCACTTTGACCTGATTCTTATTATAAAACAACATCTCCCTGCTTTATCCATAATCTTTATTTCTGTTATTCAACTATATTAGCACTATTTTTCAATGTTGTGTTGTTGTTTTTTTAAAATAAAAAGCCTTGAAATTTCATATAAGAAAAGATACTATTCTCGGGGTATTACATGAACTGTGTTCACTGAACAATAAGTATTTTCTCATGAGTTTGTCTTAAGAAAATACTAATGTGTGAAAATGTACTTACCAGAACTGGGGGGGCTGCCCTGCTTTAATAGGAGATTCAGCATGTGTGTGATCAGCATATTTTTAATATATCCAAAGCATAACACAGTTTTGGATTACAGATTCAAATTAAATAATATACTATAAATTATCATGGTAAAATCCCGACTTGTATATTATAATAACAATAACAACAATAATAATAAGTCTTTATTGATTAGCCCTTGGGCCATATCAAAATGCAAAGTTCCAGCAACAATTTGTTACTAAAATTTAATAAAAGGAATTCAAAATGAAATTTGATAAAATACTATTTAAAATGGAACTTGATAAAATACAATTTAAAATGGAATCTAGACAAAATACGATTTAAGATGAAACAGTAATAAAATACAATCCAAACTAAAATTGTAATAATGTACAATAATTTAAGATGTGGATAAAATATCATAACATTATATTTCAGAGTCGCCCTTGCAATCTACCCCAGTCAATCCCACATATGCAGATCTCAACCGAATCATTTTGTTTAAATTGTATATTGTATGTTCACCTTCTGCATGCAGAAATATGTTTCTATTGCAGCATATCCATGGTAATCATTATTCAGATGGCTAGATGTAAGATAAGTAAAAGAGAACCTCCCCCCCCCCCCCCCCCACCCCCATGGCTATAGTAGCAGCTATGCAGTTCTCTACATTTGTATCAAATATTAGATGCACTGAATTCAATATACAAATATTTACCCTTAATCTAAAAACCATTTGCAAGATCTTTAAAATGACATTAGGTGGTTTTGGTTCCTCAATATTGAGGGTAAGGATTTCAAGCACCAACTTCAATACTGAAACAAGTTACTGATACAACATATTCTAGTCATCTAAAAAGCATATCTTCAACTGTGTTGAAAAATATCACTTGGTCCAGAAAAAATGAGAAGAAAAGTGTGCCTTCATGGAATTATCAATGCAATTCTATACATCTCTATTCAGAGTCCTATGGGCCTTACTTAAATACAGAAGTGCAATTGAACTTGTAATCCATAAATATGAATGCAAGCATACTTGAAGACATGCATCTGAAAAAATAAGCTATAGTTTGCAAAAGCTTATGCCTTTTAATAATATTTGTTAGTCTGAAAATTTGCTTTCTCATTCCTTCTGATTTTTGACATAGATATACAATAAAAAGGTATGTAGCACCAGTTACACAAAACAAGGCCCTGGTATAACATGAAATCATGTAAAACACAGGCAATCACTATCTTCTTTCTTATAAGATTTGCAGTTTTAAACTTCTATCAGTAAATTTAGCTACATTTCAAATTTCAATAACAAGGGAATGGAGGGAAAATTTAACAGTTGGCAGCGTCATGTTCTTCTCCTATGGAGGTTTGCCAAAGTTCAAGCTACAATATGTTGCCTAGAACATTTGGGAGAAAAATCAACACAAGGCTAACTCCTCCAATATAAATTTTATTTAAAAAACATTTCTTTTCAACATGTACTATGCAGTAAGATTTTATACATACTGTATCTTGTTCTGCACAATTATAATTTAGCATATATCCTAAGACATGAAAGTTATTGTGTAAGAGTATAGGAGGAAATGCTGCCATATTTTAAATTACAATTTTAACTTGAGTCACTGCAGTGCAAGGTCTATATTTTGTATCTGTATATGTAAAATCTGAAACAAAACAAAAAAACCAAGAAAGCCTTAATACCTTCTGCACCTGGTCAGCTGGGTCCATAGAATATTAGCAGACAGAAATGGAAACGGATCAGGGAGACACCCACACCAGAGACAGCAATGTCACCTGAAATATCAAACCTTGAACAAAAGAGAAAGGTGTTAGAGATTTTAAAAATAGAAAAAAGTGGAAAAATGCAAACTAATTAACTGCAACATAAACCTCAACCAATAAAAATAATTGTAAAAACTGTGCATATAATTTAATGAAAATGTATACAGGGAAAAATAGGACAAATATTTTGAAAATCAAGCTCTAAAAAAACTAGGGGCAGGGGAAAAAGAACACTTACTTAATGAATAAAGAAGAAAAATAGTTACAATTTAAAAAAAAAAAAAGGATTGCCAGAGCTTTATTAATTGGTACTGGGCCACTGTATATTAGAGTAAGATAAAGTATACACATGAGAGTGCTAAAATGACACTGAGGCAATATTTTGGAAGTTCTCTATAAAAATAGCAAGCAAAGTTTAATAGCACTGCTTCTGACTGTTCTGAACTGAAGACAACTAGATGATGCTCAAATAATATAGCCTTCCTGGGAAGATATTTAGTTCCAAAATAGAAAGAATCAGACTGAACAGAGAGAAGGCAAAAGCAGTGAGTCAACAGCTAAAGAAGTAAAACACTTCAAAATACATCCACAAGAATGAAGAATTGCTTTTCTGAGATTTTAAGAATTTGAGTCAATTATTAATATAATTAAATATGCCACCAAATATCTTAATTTACAGCAGAAGACAGGTGAGAACTTATTTCCTTTACAAAAGGTATTCTTTTAATCTCACACATATATCTTATCAATACAATGAAAATACAGCAACCCTACCAGCCTCAATATCAACAGGCAAGGCAACACCATTATCTTAGAAAGGCAGCAGTTAAAATTCCATACCAATCAGACATAAACATTCAGATGTATTATATGTAGCACATATATATGTGTCCTTTTGAGATGCCAATAGTCAGTAATCAGAATATTTTAAAATATTTATTTTAGAACACAAACCAAGCCAATGTAAGAGACAAATATTATTTAAACGAAAGCATTCCAACTTCATAACCAATGTGTCAATCTGACAATGAAATGAATGCCTGCTCCCAAACTAACTCAGAGAGCCAAAGTTAGAACTTTTCAAGATTCCACTTAACATAAAGATTGTCAGCTCCATCAATGGTTACTGTACTATGTTAACTTCATATAAGTACATATGCAACTAAAATAATGCTGCACATATGTGCAGTAGAATCAGTAGGTATATGAATGCCTGAAATTTCTAGAATCAGGACTAGCAGAAAATATATGATTTTATTTGTAGATTCTCAAATTAAAATATCTGCAGTACTTGGATTTCGAGCTTCTGGAGTCACAGGCTGTAGTCTTAAGTCATACAATATTAAATTCTACAGAACAACCTTCTCAATGGCTGCTATTATTTGGTAGCATTTGCACCAATTCCCCACCACCACCACCAAATCCCACACACTAGCTTGATATAATACAGATTATTTATCAGTAGTCTTCCATTTACGACTGTAATGATGCCTGCTCATAACAGTTATAAACAGGTCACCACATGATTGGCCCATTTTATTACCTTTTTGTAGCAGTTGTTAAACAAATGCTACAGTTATAAAGCAAACCTATTGCTCACTATGGAGTGTTTTTGACTGAAACTGGAAGTAATTGCTAGTTTTCAGTGAAAGCACAATAAATTGCACCATGACTAAGGGACCCTCAAACTATAAATGAAGGTTATTGAGCACCCAAAATGTGGTCATGTAACTGTGAGAGGTGGCTATCAGAACTAGATTATAAGTACATCTGTGTGTGTGTGTGTGTGTGTGTGTGTGTGTGTGTGTGTGTGTGTGAGAGAGAGAGAGAGAGAGAGAGA